TGACCGCTTGTTCTACCATGTTCGATTGGGAATTAGGGGCGAACGCTGCATCGCAGCCTTTTCGGACCAAAACCAGTCGACTCAGCGACCAAAAGACTGCAACATATGGGCCAATCGCGGTGATCCGTGCTTTTATAAGAACGAAATGGCCCTTTTAGTGACATTTTGCATACAAACCCCCATCTAGTAGGGCGCAGTCACCCAGTTTCGGTGGAAGTGCGCGAGTTCGATTGGGATTCAAGTAGGAAGGGAGCGTCTCAGCTTTCTCGGACCAAGACCATTCGACTCAGCACCCCGAAGACTACAACTGGTGAAATTTTAATTTTTGCCTTAACTTCCCCTTTAAAAAATGCCAAATGTTAAAAAAAAGCCAGATCACCTCGTAGTAAAGAAAAAAGCGTAACTAATTACTTGTAGTTTCTGATCTTGGTCCTTTTTCTTTACTATAAAAGAAATAAAGGGCAAAAGAAAATGAATAATAGTGTAGCCAAGAGAGCCGAGGAAAATTTTTCCATGTTACAAATATCTTACAAATAATCGCTTTAAAAAGAAAAGAGCAGGTGGTACAGCCGTCTTCCTATTCTGAATTCCCTGAGCGAAGCAGAGAATTAAATGTAACTATTACATAGCAGCACAGTAGCAAGAGAGCTACTTCGGTCGACGTCAGTGGACGTGGACTAACTAGACTACGAGTGGATGCGACAGCAAAAGTGACTGTGTATAGAAGGCATGGCCGTGCGGGTGTGCCAATGATGACAACAAATGGAATAATGGCTGATACGTTTCATGGAGCGAGTGTATGTGGGATGGTGCGGATGTAACCTAGCCTGACCAGCGCGACTTGCGGCGGGTGGTACGTGCGCTCCGATGTCCTTCTGCAATACAATACAAGCGGGTACGTCGATCTGGTGACCTTGAAATCAGTGCACAGAGCCGGTTCCCCGCAATGCCGTGGATGCATCGCCAGGTGAACAATAGCGCCTTTTGTTTGTGCAGCTCTGAGATACGGTATAGTTCCACCCATTGGAGCAGAGGTTGAGCAGAGTCATATGGCCGAGCGCCAAAAACTGCGCGAACCGCTTTGTTCTCCAGCGTCTGGAGATCCTTTGCTTGCTGGGCAGTTAGGCAGAACACGAAACAACTTGATGCGTACCGGTATGTCACATCCGGCATCACCACGGACTTCAAGTAGTAGTAGGTGGTGACTCGGGCCGCCAGGCTCAAGCATCTCCGAGTCCGCCAGAGGGCACCTACTTTGCGGGACACCTTTGCTGTTATGGCTTTCAGGTGTTGCTGAAAGTTCAGCCCCTCGTCAATGATGGAGCCAAGGTATTTCGCGCTGGTGACTGTCGGCAGAGCTTGGCTGCGACAGAGGACTGTGACCCGGGGTCCAGCGTCTCTACCAGGGGAGACTGTGAGAACTTGACTTCCCTTCTCATTCAGAATCAGTCCTCGCTCTTACAGCCATGCAGCCAAGGAGGAGACTGCGGTTGAGAGCGTGCTTGCAACAGCCTGATCCCTGAGGCACACCGCAGCTGCAAGAGGCGATTGTGCTTCTGCTGGCCCCGAAACAATCTTGCTGTGTCCGCTCACCGAGGTAGCTGATGAGCCAGCGAAGGGGTCTGTCTACCTGTGACTCCTAAAGCAAACAGGTCCTGAATGAGACGCTCATGACTGACTTTATCAAATGCCTTGGCGAGATCGAGAAAGCACACTCCTGATACCTGGCGTCAATCGCGAGCCTCCAAGAGCGTGTCCGTAAGGACAATGCACCACAACTGGCTCGGACAATCGACTCACCATCATCAGCCATGATGATGCTCCTCTCAGTCACAACCCTTGTAACATGTTAATAGTCTCACAGTTTCTCCCGCGCACTCGCTGGTGTTAACCCTTCCTTTCTTTTCACTTTGCTGACTTGTACAGCTCTATCTTTTATTTTGGTGCGTGTTTTTGGCCGTGATGCCGAGACCTCAGGTCAGCAGAGCCATCAATGCCCCACCATCACTGCTGCGTCTCGGTGCAGCCCCTGCTCAATAGTTATCACGTTCATCCTAGTCTCAGTACCATTGTCTTCCTTTATTATTTTCGAGCTGGGAATGTGAACATAGTAAAAAAATAAAAAATAAAAAACAAACAAACAATGCATCTTCTGTTGAGTAGCTATGCCGGTACATAAACTGCATGTCAGGCAGCGCATGAACAAGGGAAAGATGACATTGTGACTGGTTTTGTACGAGTACAATCCGCTCGAGGATTTTCGAAATAATGGGTAGTAGAGATACTGGTCTATATTCCCACGTGAAGCAGGATCTCCCGATTTGAAGAGGGGGCGAACCTCTGCTAGCTTGAAAGCCCGAGGAACGATACCCGATTGCAAGGACATGTTGAAAAGATAGGTGAGGCTTGGTGCGATGATGTCGGGAGTGGCGAGCAGCAACGATCCTGGGAGCCCGTCACTACCGGTTGCTTTTCTGGCGTCGACTTAACGTAGCAGGTCGTAAACGGAACCTGCATCAACGCCTGGAAAATACGAAAGGACTTCCTCTCTCAATGGCCCCTGACTCCCTGAAGTTCCGTGAATATGGGAGGTCTATTGGCGTCGGTCACGACTTGATGGAACGTATTGCCGAGTTAGTTAGTTGTGGACGGTTGGAATGCCAGGCCTACAATCAAAATTTAATGATATCAGAAAAGAAGAGTATTGTGGCAAATCACATGTCTATACAGCATTAGTTTTCAAGGAGAAGAATACAGCACAAGCAAAGGATGAAGAGCCACAAAATAACTTCTGACCACGTGTTTTCAGGATTTCCACAAATGGGAGGTATATCGATCTGACATCGTCTCAGAGGAGCTAGCCTCATGTGTGTTGTTTAAGATGAAGACATTATTCACAGAGTGGAAGTAGTGACAGCTTGTCTCCAGGCTGGAATACTATTTTGGCAGTAGTATTTGCCAAGATAAACTTCATCCCAACAATGAATGACTACTTGCAATAATGGTTTCATTTCTCACTGCATGGATAATTAGGGGAAAGATTTGATACACCCGCTATTCTGCCACAACCCTGCATCAAAGTTGCACTGGAGAGCAGCCAATGGAGAAGCGATCATGTGTTATATTGCTAAGACGTGGTGGGGCTCGTGAGAGATATTGTGGCAGATCGACGATATGCATAATTTCCTGGAAGTTTGATAATGTGCAGACTTTCGTACATTTTTGTCCTAAACCGAGAGCATTATAGCCTTTGCTGAAGCATTATAATCAGCATTATTATATGGCAGTTTTTGGAGCATTATGGTTAGCATTATCCGACCCTACTCGTGACTAGCATTATCCGACCCTACTCGTGACTAGCATTATCCGACCCTACTCGTGACTAGCATTATCCGACCCTACTCGTGACTAGCATTATCCGACCCTACTCGTGACTAGCATTATCCGACCCTACTCGTGACTAGCATTATCCGACCCTACTCGTGACTAGCATTATCCGGCGACCCTACTCGTGACTAGTAGGCTGCTACTTAGCCGTTACATGTATTACAAGCCAAAGGCAAAGGTGCACACACACCACTGCTCGCCTCCCAGAAACCTCGAGAACGATATCACCGTCTTGATGGATGACGGGACGTGGGATGCGATTGTGGATGTTGCGAATGTACAGTGTGAACCAGGGCTTTTACCACTCCGGAGTTCCTGGTGTGAACAATATCGGCCGGAAAGACTGCAGAATTGGAATATATTGGAAATCGGCTAAAAGAATGGTTGGCATATTGGCTTCAATATTGGTGAGATATTGGAAGATTTGGTGGTTTTTCGGCGATACTCAATTCTAAGGCTATACTCAAAGGAGCCCTCCAAAATCGGCGAAAAACTTATCGATTTTTGATAGGCCTCGTTTTCGGCGAATTTTTCGGCTGGCTGATTTGGGGATTTTACTAGTAACATCTTCCTAAAAAAACGCGAGCTCCCATGTAGGGAGCAACACACAATTCCCGAAGCATCGCCGAAGTCGCACTCTTCTTCACATTGCTGTCCCCAGCGCGGGTTTGCGAATTACAGTGTAGATGGCTTGGAGGCAGCAACGTTGAGAATGGTCAACGCCAACGGTCCTCAGCGCTTGTTCAGCACCTCCATGAGCGACCCTGACTCACGCTGCGATCTGCATATCTGGTGTTCACGAGGTGTTTGTCGCACTGGAAACGGAGCGTCTCTGTAAGTCTGTATCCCTGGTGATGTTTTTGCCTGGAGAGCACTACGTGTAGCTAGATTGACAGCATGAAACAAGGTGGAGGACATTGTGTTCGGAAACAGTGACCTTACGGCTTACTACAACCTTCCGCGGTTGGCAGAGCCCCGGTCCCTGCGGACCATTTGAACCATATGGGTACAGACTGTACAGTAACACAATACGCGTGCAACACACCCTTGAACTGGAGGGGGGACGTGGTGTTTCTCGCATCAGGTGGAAGACTGTTCCAAACGCTTTCGCGTTGGCATCGGCGTTAGCCTAGCCTTCGCTTGGACCACACCCAATGTTAGACATGATATCGATACCAGAAGAGAAGGGGAGAAAAAGAGAAAGAAAGCAAAACCAAAAACGAAAAAAGGGAAAAAATACCGGTAGGTGGGTGTAGATCTACTCGTAGTAGTACTACTACTACTAGTAGAATCCACCGACGGTCCGTAGATCTACCGGTAGTAGTGCGTGCTGAGTGGATCGAGGTCATGCAGGTCCGCGTCGCTGTTGACTGGATCTATCGAGCCAGCCTCAGTACAGACAGTTATTTGTAGACTAGAGACAGACTCATAGTCATACATACATGGAGTCATACGGACATGACCATGAATAATGATGACTAGTCAGACTACTACTAGTACTACACTTCTCTCTCTACAGTACTAGTACTAGTAGTAGTACATGTACTACTGTCTTGGCTAGGCGCTAGGCTACGTGTTACTTTTCACAGCAATATTTTTTACAGTCAGTGAACAACTCAGTTCAGCTTTTTGTTTTGTTTTCTGACGACAGGGTGTGCTAGATTCCCGTCGTGTTCTGGCGTTTGAACGGAGTCGATTGTTCCCTTTCCATTTACTTATAGTTTGCCTGTGCCTTGCATGGATGCTGGTAAAGTCCGAATTGAACCGAAGCTGAGTTGCTGTAGCAGGAATCGACCAATACTAACTTAATTTGTCCGTAACTAATTACTTGTGTGCAGTGCAGCGATCGTGCGTGCCGGAGATATCCTGAGCCTTGCCGCAGTTTTCGTGGACTAATAACCTGTAGTGTGGCTGTAGTGTTGTCGACGTTGTTGTTCACCACTGACAGTGGACTCGGCGATCGCGAACGCGTGGATACATAGCTGCTTCATACGCCGTGCGACGTTCGCTTCTCCCTAGTAGTAGTACTCGTCCCTAGCTAGCGCCTAGTGCTAGACCCTGCTGCACTGCTGAGTCGTGCAAGGAGTCGCGAGAAAAATTGACTTTTCGCACTATTAGGCTTTTCCGTTTCAAGATGGCCCATGGTAATGCGAAATCAGCCAGCAGTGGGCCTCCAAAGTCCTTGCAAGAGAACCAGAACAATTACAGATGCAATGTGTGTGAAGAGGTGTTCACATCTGGAATTTCCATTGAACGGCATGTATGTCCCGTGCTGGTAAGCCAGAAAGAAGCGGCCTCGAAACCATCGGCGGATAGTTCAAGCAGCTCTCAAACGGCAGCAGCAGCGGGTGGGAAGAGTGAAAAGGCGTCATCCAATGGTGATCTGGCCAAAGGTACTACATCAGCAGCAGCAGCGTCAGCACCAGGCACAGAAGCATCGCCGACGGCTGCGGATGCCAGCAGTACGGCCGCGCCAGAGCTGCGATGCCTGGTCTGTGGCAAGCTCTTCTTGCGGCTGTACACTCTGCAGAGGCATGAGCTGATACACTCAAACTCAAGACCGTTCAAGTGTGAAGTCTGCGGCCTGCACGTTCGCCACCAGTACCGGCTGACCGAGCATATGCGCACGCACAATAAGAGCCTGTCGTTTTCCTGCGATTTCTGTAGCAAGACCTATACGAGAAGAGACCATCTGAATCGTCACAAGCTGAAAACGCATCAGATGAATGTCACGATACCGCCAGGTCCCAACGCAATACAGGCCGAGCCCGCAGAACCGCCTCTTGTCACGAAAGCCTCGGCCAAAACTGCTTGGTCACGGGCCGCCGCCACCAGCGCCGCCGCTAAATCCAGCAATGCGGTAAGCCGATCTGCTAGTAAGCCTGTTTCTAATTCGAAGCCGAGCTCCGGTGGGGGGAAACAACAACGACAACAACAGCCGCAGCAGGGTGCTAATTTGGCAGCTAGTGGTGTTCCTAGTGCGCCGGCTATGCAGGATCTGCGCCTACCGCATTCGATTACAGCAGCACCGGCAGCTAGCGGCCCGGTGCACTTAAACTTAAACTTAAACTACCCCCAGTCCTAGTAGGCCGGATATGCTGTATCCTGGCTCTGATATGCTGTATCCTGGCTCTGATATGCTGTATCCTGGCTCTGATATGCTGTATCCTGGCTCTGATATGCTGTATCCTGGCTCTGATATGCTGTATCCTGGCTCTGACTTGCATCAGTGCACTACTGGGGAGGTGTTAATATGAACTTTCGAATATAACCAACATTGGTAGGGTATATTTGGTTCCTTGCAACTCCTGACTATGTCCAATTGCCTCAACACACATCCTCCTAGGCCAGGGCACTCCATTTATTTTTTACCGGCTGTCTTGCACGCAATAAAAATCTCCACACATAGTCACCGTATATGGAAGCTGTAAGCAAAGCATTATCCAGTCACTATTCTGCCGTATATCCGCCATTGTCTAGGCACCCCCAAACCACGCTACGTAGCATTGTCTCCGTATAGAAGCGCACCGTCATATTCCTCTTCTCAAGGCTCCTGTATTGTGATGATTCAGTGTCTCCCCGTCAGTATTCTGTCTCGTGGCTTTTACTTGAACGGGTCGTCAGTGTTTTTCTCTTGGCCCTTACTTGAAGCAGGTGGCTGCCCTGCATGCTGGACACACAGCTTGTCATGGGCCTCTGCTTCTGTATTGTGTTTTTAGCAATATTTTTTTACTGGTGCTCAATCTGTGTACAGTCTTGTTTCATGCCTAGCTTTGCAGCCACCACCACTCTGGCACATGGTGCCAGTACAGCTACCAGCGAGGACTCCATGCTGTTTGCAGTGTACGCGTAGTGAGGTGAGCGTCTCTTGCCGGTCAAGGGGAGGAAAGAGTGTGTGTGTGTGTGTGTGTTTGTGTGTGTGTGTTTGTGTGTGTGTGTGTGTGTGTGTGTGTGTGTGTGTGTGTGTGTGTGTGTGTGTGTGTGTGTGTGTGTGTGTGTGTGTGTGAGGCAAGATAGCCAGATAAAGGGTGGGAAGTCTAGGTGTCTGCGGGGGTTTGGGGGGGGGGAGGGCCTGTCACTCTTGATCTGGCCAAGAACGGCCCACAGAGGCATTGCAAGTGATGTTGTGCATGTGTGGTGCGCGAACGAATAAACCATGACATTTGACTATCTACCGTACGTTGTATTATTGTGTCATTAGAGAGGTTCCGGAGTCCAATTTTTCGTGCCAAAATCCGTAGAGGCGCTACGGATTTTTTATACGTCGTTTTTGTGCAGTGAAATGTTCCGGAGTGCGGAACTTATGTGTTTGCCGTCATTGCCTAGGTTACGATCGCAAACAGGTACATTCCCGCGCTATGCCTCTTTATTTTGAAAATCTGTACCGAAATCAAAACTACCCGCCGAAAATCGATGTTTCTCGTACCAAAATTGTACGCGAAAAATCTTTCTGCACCCGATGACGCAAAATCTCCATACGAAACATGGTTCGTATGAAAGCCAGTCCACACGGATTCTCTGTGCCAAAAAATCGTATGGAGCACGCCTCGAAAAAATCCGTAGAGCCCATACGGATTTTGGCACGGAAAATCGTACCCCAGAACCTTTCTATTCAAAGCGTTCTCTGTCCGCGTTAGGTAGGTGTGTGCAGACATGGTAATACCATTCTGCTACAATCTTATACAATAATGTACCAGTCCTGTACATAATATACCAGTACATGTAATTTATTTATTTTATTCCAAGCAATACATGGCTGGGGTAGCCTATGACCACTTTGCGTGGCGATTGCAGGGTTTTTATAGCCAATAATTTGAATGCATAGTACCCATGGTAACGTTTTACACGTGCCTTCCTCTGTCCACACGGACTAGTCCTGTTCAGTAATGGTAATACAACGCCGGGCAGAGCTTCCTTACAAAGAAGGCAGAGCGAGGTTTTGCTTTCAACTCCATTTTCACGCTATGCGAATTCTAATTATACATGTACTGGTATTATTTAAACCCCGGTAAATTTAGCCTGCTGGTATTATCATGATGATCGCATAGTGAGAAGCTCGAGTCGAAGTTGCAAGGCAAAACTACGGCTCGGCTTTGCAAGGCAAAACCCGGCTCCGAGGCCTTCTTTGCGAGCACTGCACTGCAACCGTTCTTTTTCTAACCATTATACTAGTTGAAGACACCACTGCAGCTGTACTCAAGTTATTGTTGATAAATATGGTGGCAAAGACACACCTGGTGAGAAGGAGAGCTCTGTGCCAGAACTTTGCAGCTTAGAGAGCGTGTTTGGTCAGTCGTGTGTTTACCGCCATATTGCCAGGTGTGTCTTTGCCACCATATTTTATCAACCATTATAGTACTGATCATGCTTATAGTACATAGTATCGGTACGCGGTACCGCTAGTACTAGTAGCTCAGTACTAGTATAATCTAACCCAATACTAGTTCAAAACTAGTATTAGATAAACCTTGTTATAGTTCACACATATTGTTAGACTGACAGCATGAAACAAGGTGGAGGACACTGTGTTCGGAAACAGTGACCTTACTGCAACCTTCCGCGGTTGGCAGAGCCCCGGTCCCTGCGGACCATTTGAACCATAATTATGGGTGTCGCACCCGGTTCTGACCCTCATTATGCTAGGGTGGTAGGAGACTACTCCTGACGTCCGTTCCTGGATGTCGTCCTGGTAGTCATGTAGATACTTACACCTCAACAATAGCTGACGAGCTGAGAGAAGGACGCCATGGGCAGAAGTAATAGTTGGAAGAAAAGAAGTTGAGGTTTAAGTAGCTACATGACTACCAGGACGACATCCAGGAGCGATCAAAGAATACACGACGGACGTCAGGAGTAGTCTCTAACCTCCCTAGCATAATGAGGGTCAGAACCGATTGCGACACCCATATGGTTCAAATGGTCCGCAGGGACCGGGGCTCTGCCAACCGCGGCCAGCCACGGTACACAATGGCGATAAATAGGGATAAGAATCGCACGATTCAATCCTCATCCATTCATATTCATAATCATGTGTGTAGATCTACAGTGCTGCACTTCTTATGTAGTCTTGGAGCTGTTCAGTCACCATGGTCACGTAGACCTACCAAGACCTGTCACCTGTAGTACCTGGCCGCATGCTAATACTCATACACTGTACTAGTCATAGTGAGTGAGCACTGGGCAGTGAGGGATGCCAGTTATCATGGTTATACGTAACTTCGTTACTTTACTCTAATTACAGTTCCTGCCAGTGATTCGATCTCAGCATTCCATCCTCCAGTCCATTCAGAAAAAGATGAGCGCTGGCTCTGGAGAGCTCCCGTGTTTGGCGATTTTGTGGTACACTGTGCCCGCCGCGCGATTCGAAACTTGAAAAAGGGTTCAAAAAAGGCACCTCAACTGGGGTTCGAACCGCAAATGTACTGTTATGCAAGTGGAGTGGACGGCCTAGATTTTCATGGTTTTTACCCAATTCAGTGCTTTGGGGGCAAAACCTGGCCGAAATCCTATTCTTGTTATGGCTTGCTTTTTGAAGAAATAGACTTCAAAACATTCCATGGGGGATTGCCAAAAAAATTGTGACGAAAACTCAAAATTTGACCCTTTTATGGCCAAAAGCTAAGAAGTAAGATAATTATCATCTTTTTCTAGTGTTTGAGATATTTCTAGCCTACGTGTGGTCAAGGCCATAACCCGTACGACCATAGCGCCTAACCAGCTGTCATGTATTGTTAAAATCATGCAGCATCATAAGTGAGGGCAAGCATTATCAGTCGAATTATTTATCATAACCATGTACTTTCTTGCACTGCATCCACAAGTAGCTCAGTGGGCTGAACCATCCGTGTTCCACATGATCCAGATCAAGTCTGCCACGGTCTAGTCACATAACATTGACATTGATTTCTATTCCGCTTGATACAATTAGGGCCGCTCTGAGAGTCTCTTTTTCTCTCTGCTAATTCATGACGTGCAAAATAGATAAACGAAGTGAGAAAGTGTGCTATTCCTGAGGTCATACTACACCACCATCAAGCCAATAATCACACATTTCTGTGACATTAGTAATGCAGCCAATGCAAACGCAACACAAACTCGGCTGTTCACTCAACAGACACAGCCCACGCCACCGAAGCAGAGAACCAGAACCATTCCGATAAGGATATCAAGAAAACCTGGAAGTTGGCCGGCGACAGCTGCAGCGCACAAAACCATTCTAAGGTACCATGCCGTAACCATGAGTCCCACATGCCAAGCTCTTGAAAAAATAGAAATAGATATTATTTAAGAGTATAGACACTAAACGCGCTAGGAGAGAAAATCCCACAAACAAAAGAAAATAGTTTGCTCGGTTTGAAATTATGAATCGGTTGGAGAGGCCAGAGAACCCCGGGGAAAAAGCACAGAGGTAAACAGGGCACTGAATTGTTCAATTAAAAGATTTCTCAATGAGGGAGGCGTTGTAAATCCTAAATGGGTACAAATAGATACACTGCAACGCGATCATGTGACTAGCTGGAATTGGCCAAATAGAGAGCATGCCAGTCAGAACAGATCGGCAAACAAGGCCGCTAAATGCCCGCGTCAAAATTTACGATTACAAATGATGGCAACATCTGAGAGTGTGCGCACATCATTAGCCAGTTCAGCAAGCAGAATGCAAACAGGATCACGCAGCCGTGGACAACGAGTCATTGACAGTGCCACGCTCAGTGATGGAAGGTCAGCACACACGCACTGGAGAGTGCAGGGTGGAGTTGCACCGACAAGAAAGAACATAGTAAACCGCAGGAGAAGAATTGAAGGGGAGAGTCAGTATATTCTTCCAACGTGGCCAAGAGCGCCCTGAAGAAGAGAAGGAACACTCTCAGGGCATAGCCTCGAACCCATGCAGGAGCACGGATATTTTAAAAAACTGCTGAGTCAAGCCAACAAGAGTCCTCTATAACACCCCTAGCCAAACGGCAGAACACGTCCAATCTGCGCAACGAGACGTGCCCGGCGTGAAGGGTTGACCATAGCAATAGCATCATACTGGTGAATCATACAAGTAATGGAGACGACGGGGAAACCGGACGCAAACATCCCAGGACACTCAGTGAAGCCAGCACAGCACAGCACATGTACAGTGCCAAACTATACAGTGACTTGCGACGAGAATACAACAATAATAATTATTATAATCTTAAAACTGCCCTAGGTTATGTACATGACAACTGGGAAAACCGTCCCTCTTCAAATAGCCGACACGCGTATTCTGAGACTCGAGTCAGAGTTGGACGCCTCCAGCTGAGCTTTCTCATGCACCAGTCCACCATTGGGGACCTGAGCAGTCGGTGTAGCGGCATCCCGTTGGCTAGTTGTCTCGTCTTCTTCCTCCTGTGCCGCCTCGGCTGCTGCTGCTTCTGCATTGTCACTGGAGGGTAGGTCACTAGGCCGTGACATGTCTGATGGAATGGACCCAGCAATTGGCTCAGAAGTTGCCTGCAGGACATTGACCTCCGCCAATGATTCCGCTGCTGCTTGGAGCGCTTCGTTATGGAATGGCACGTCATCGGATTCGTCAGGTGACATTGGCGGCAGCGAAGATCCATTCGACACCATGGACACACCGGGTGAAGTATAGGCGGTGGCAGCTGCACTGGCGAAGTGATCTGCAGGTGCTGAGTTGCGACCCGGCAGCATGCCAGGAGCGCTTACAATAGAGTCTGCCCCCGGTGATGTGGGCCCCTCGGACTGAGAGCTGCCCGAGGCCACGCTCGAGGCCACGCTCTGGCGCTCCAGGCCCACACCGGGGGGCAGTGACTTTACAGTACGTCTGTGCTCCCTGCGTAGGGTGAGATCGCGATACTCCTCCGGCGGCACGGGGTACGCTGGAGGATCAGTGGAAGGTAGAAACGTCAGGGAGGTTGCGCGCGGGAAGGAGGCCAGCTTGTGCTTTCTCAAATCTTGCAGCATCAAGTCCAGCTGCTCCATGACTTCGTCGTTGTCAAACTTGTGGTCGGGTAGCTCCTTCATGAATATGTGCAGCTGTTCAAAGGACTGCTTGGCCATTTGCTCTGTACACAAGGTCGCATACGGTAACAAAGCAAAGCAGACAAAGCTGTATGAGAAGGTTCTGTGGCAAGTTTTCAGGCAAGCACGCAGTCATGTAGTATCCGACACATGATCAAAGTCAACGGTTGAACCAAAAGGAACTACTGGAAAGCAATTCTTGAAGTACGAGCATCCTTGCAATCTCCCAATTTCTCTCTCCTTTCATGTGTTCTGTAATGGAGAAAGGCTTTCTGCCAAGCAGTAAGTCATCAGTAAGTTTTTTTAAACAATCTCTCACTTACTTTTGAACATTTTGATGAGCAGAGCAGCCATTGCATGCATCACTCGCTCCCCAACGTACAAGTAGACATCCCAGACGCGCAGAACCAGAGGGAACGGAAGCTGTACGTACAGACGAGCGACAAACACAGCGGCAGAGAGATAGAGGTGAGAGGCAATCGAGAAGGATAGGAAGCCGTAGTTCCACCAAGCCACGGGCCATATAAAGCTTGCATTCGTACGGCTGTAGCATGCAATCCACCAATACTATACACTGCAAGTATGCTGACGTAATACTTCGACCAGCTCTCGTTGGGGCTGTCTAGCTTGTCGTCTTGGACGCAAGCGCAACTGCTCTTGCAGTTCTTGTTTTCAGTCCTTGAAAGTACGGCCGAGTATCCTGATACAGGACAACGGCATTGTGATACAACTCCTCCCCCCCCCCCCCCACACACACACACAACTCTCACCCCACTGCACTCGAGGGCACGTGCACCCCCCACCAAATAAATTTCGACCTAGGTTCAGCATGTGCGTAATGGGCACCAGCCATCCTACACATATGCAGTCGTACCCCCCCCCCCCCCCCCCCCCCTCCAAAGGTGGACCAGCTACGACCCTGCAACTGCTCACCCTGGTGGCCAGCCGCCTTCATCAGGAGCAGAAAGGCAGCGAAAGCACACAGACAAATGCAAGCATGCATGTACATTGGCTAGCAGCAGAACATACCCTCTCCTGGAAGCCTTCCATGAACCACTTTGTACCGTAGAGAGTTGGCTCAAAGCCTACTTGCTCCTGCCAGAGAAATAGCACAGGCAAAAAGTATGTATGGGGTCAGTGCAGTTTAACTTTTAACAGCATTAAGGTACAGTGAAACCTGGTTAGGAAGAACCGTGACTGATAAGACAAATGTTTGCCTAAGAAGAACTAGTATTCGTAACTGTATTGGATAAAACCCTGTGTATTCACTGGGTAAAACATATGGATAAGAAGAACTCCCGTTATTGCGAACAAATATCATCGGTCCCTTGATGTTCGTCCTAAAGAGGTTTAACTGTACATGGACAACAGAAGCCTTAGAAAAAAACTAAGTAAATTATTGTGTCCAGTCCCGAGGAGACTCACGACGGCCACTAACACCCGGTAAATCCAGTGGCAGATACTGTCAGTGCCTAACGGTGGGGGCGAGGGGATAAGTCTCACTACCACTGGCACAAATGCCGACATCCCCCAATAGCTGCATCCATGCAGGCGTAACACAACACCATACGTTAAACTGAGTGTAGGAGGCCGAAAAGGCCTTTGAAGAAAATATTCCAGGTTAACTAATCACTACTGAGTGCGGGGTAGGTGCGCAGTTGTATGTGATAATTCAAGGTCACTGGAAAACTTGACAGTAACAAAAAATATTGCCAAGGAAGAATATGTTTTGCCTGGTGGGCCAGACCAGCAGCGAAGATGCACATTCTTGATCAGGTACTCTTGCTCTACATGCATGTATTGAAGCAAGGTTATTTTTTAAAGTGCATGCACGATTAAAATTGTATGAAGAATAGTCTTCTCTGCCAGGCTTAGGATCAGAGTGAAGTAAAAGAGTTGGTGGACAAGCCGTTGATTATTCACTCTCATTGTAATATCAAAAAAAGTATTCTTTCTAGACCAAAGAGTGGTATATTTGATAAAATTTAATAACGATAGAAATATTTACGATACTTCTCCAGACGTTTCGTTGTTCTGAACAACATCGTCAGTGGATAAAAAAATTCTTTATCCACTGACGATGTTGTTCAGAACAACGAAACGTCTGGAGAAGTATCGTAAATATTTCTATCGTTATTAAATTTTATCAAATATACCACTCTTTGGTCTAGAAAGAATACTTTTTTGATATAGAGTGAAGTAAGTTGTGGGCAATGTAAAGGTGCGGCCAGTGGTAATCTACTTACCAAGTGTTTGTGGACTTTGGGCAGAACTTTCCGTCGAATGGTCCCGTGGTGAGTGCACATCTCATGCAGCTTCCTCAAATCACTTGTGTACAGACCTATACATCATACAGACAGTAGTCATACAAGCAAATGCTAGAGCTCGCGGCCATGATCACCCCAGCGCAGTGCACAGAAAATTACCGTGCAAAGCCAACAGAACAATAGCGAATGTTTAAAACAATTGCTTTGCCGCGACCCTCTAGCACATTATTTTCCAATGTCCCATGCACGCACATAACCAAGAACAAACAAGAAAGATGTTGACAATATGCAATCAGAAAAGCGCCCTTAAAACGAGTATTAGAGCTTCACCCTGAGCAATGTGCTTGGCTGGATCACATGATCAGCAAAGGATACAAACTAGGAGTACAGCTCAATGAAGTCCGATCAAGCAAATCAATGCCACGCCGGGCGCTGTGCACCTCTAGACCTGTGAGCACTGGGATTTTGACTGGCACAGGGCGCACACTTGACTCAAGCGATCGAATTCCATTGAGCAGCACTGTACAAGAAGAGATCACTACCGAGAAGTTTGAAGAGAAGCAAATTTCAACAAATAACATTTTGGTCCTTCCTCTTCAACAAAATTAATAAGCTGGAAATTGTAGCAATGCGAATCACAATGGGGACAAAGCATTCCAAGATGTTTTGCGGATTAAGTGTTGGCTAGTGTCGCCGGATATCCCTGTATTGCCGCATTATACGAAATGAACACGGTGGCTGCAAAGACTGCTTACCGTGCATTGCATAGTGCTCACTGCTCATTAGCCTGCACATAGCCCAGTACGCATCCTGCAGTTGGAAGTGGATCACGGAGCGGACAAAACATGTTTGCAAGCCGGGCATCCACATGCAGAACACTATGCTGCTTTATCAGTATGGGTGAAACGATTACACTGAATACTCGAAATAGAAATCGTTACAAGCTAATGCAAATAATCTAAGTGGAGATAAAAGTTTAATAATAGCTATGATGATCGGAGCGTGAAAATCGATTTTGGAAACACACAAAACCAAACCTTGAACAAATTGTCATATTGCGTGGTGATGTCTGCGGCATTCATACTTTTCATAGCTATTACAAGCTAATGAATCGATTATTCGAAAAGTTTCGATTACTCGCCATACAGTATACATGATTATACAAATAATTATGATTGCAGATCACCATGTTCAAGAACCCTCTGTTGGGAATTTCTGTGCTTGAAAAGGCTCACAAATCGATTAAAATCACCACACACTGAGCACATGAATGCATGCATGCATGCACGCATACATACTCACCTCTTCATTCATATACATCATCATGAGACCAGCAATAGCATCCATTCCCTGACAGTAGCCAACCTCCTGTACACAGCACAATAAAAACAATACTTGTTTGAGTATGGAATTTATGCACAAAGTAACCACAGATTTGATGTGGTATAGATGCTGGCCGCAACATTCTTTTTCGAAGCCAGAGGTCTTTATGTTTGAAAAGCACTATATTTGAGCAGACTCTTTTCTTTTTCTTTTATAACATCTTTGGGTTCAACATTTCTTTAAAGGTGCACAAGCTCCACTGCAGCCACTTCAATATACGGATAACCCTCCACACACCATCCTCAAACAAGTGGCCTGATCGCTGCAAATTCCTAATTTCTCAATCAAATTGTCGGCAAGGAGCAATCATCAGGATTGAGGAGAAAAACGGTGAGGTGGACCTATAAAATGCAACACAAGGTGGAATGAAACTACACCATAAGTGAAAAAGTACACGTTGAGGCACGCGCGCACAAACACACACACACACACACATACACACACACACACACACGCTCATACTCATACACGGTCCTGCTCAACACTGACAACAGAGAACTACTTACCTCATTGTACATGGTGTAGGCTGAGAGAATCCTAAACAATATCTGCTGCCTGCAAAAGAACACAAGCGGTAGAAAGATAATAGTTGTTGAGCAAAGTGTCCACGCCCTACCGTGCTGCAGCCACATGCACACCTACATAGGCCAGTGTTGCCGATATGCATACGGGTGAACGCGAGCCGTGCGTATTTCATGCCGCATAGCACGTAAACTTGCTGCACAAAGACATGCAACACTTTGGGATTGTGCATAAACACTCAACTACATTATCACAATCACCATCAAAGCCTCACCAGGTGATGGCGTCCTAAAGTAAAAGAAGCAGAAATGTGGTCCGTGACCTCCGGAGAAGGTGACTCTCTAATACTTTTCGCATCACAGCCGCAGTACACCTACAGCCTTCACATGTTTCATTACGATGATAGCATGTCACAAGGCGGAGGACACAGTGAGTGCGTTCGATTTCTCCCATGAATGGATATTGAATCCGTTCATGAATCGCCCCTGGCTATTCACATCACCCCATGTGAATAGGGTCAATGGATTCCGAACCAATTCCAGTGCTCGTGACACTGATGAAATCGAACGACGAGATTCCATTCATGAATCGATTCATGGTAGTAATCGAAAGCACCCACTGTATTGAAACACAGTGTCCCTGACTGCAGCCATAAACCCTTGTGACATGCTGTCCTCGTTATACATGCTTAACTACACAAGAGAGAGATTGGAAGCTGTGTCGCAACTCTGAGTTTCACGTATTACTACGATCATCAGGCAACTGATGTCTCCAAAATGGGCCTGCACTTCACTCGTTCGCTATGACTCCCCTCAGTATTTCTCCCCTTGCTCCCCCTTATGTTCCGGCTGCCCGTTTTGGAGCCATCAGTTGCCTGAGGATCGTAGTAATATGTGAAACTCAGAGTTGCGACACAGCTTCCAATCTCTCTCTTGTGTACAAGGCTCTGCCCTATATGGGTATTGAGCACTCTTCGCCCGAGTCTTCGGTCAGTGGAGCAGCTACTTGATTGCATGCTAAACTACCAAGCAAGGCTTGCATATACCTACTTGTTCAGGCTTCCACACTGACACCTACTGTGCTGCATACAACCATTGCATCGACTCACCCCTGTCCGTATCTCTCCCGGAAAAGCACGTGCTCACGAAACCGCCGGGCAATGTCCTTGTTGATCTGGTCGATATCCTTCAGTTTGCCGCGTTCTCTTGCGGCATAGTAAGCAGCCTGCATCAACACAGAGTAGCGTGAAGAACCGCGGAAATGAGGTAACCCAGATTAGCGCTTCATGCATGCATTGTCAGTATAGGTACTGCTGATGGAGCACTGGATCTGTCCACTAGCCAACAATACATCTCTGCGGTTGAGACAACAGCACCACGCCAAGACAACAGCACTACGCCAATGCGTTTCAGTCCTCATCCCTACCTCGTATTGGCCTGGTTTACGAATGCTCTTCAGGTCAAGAAAGCGAGACCAGACCTCCAAGCGAACGCTGTCGGGAACGCCCTTCAGCACACGGCGGTGCATGACGGAGGTTTGCACCACCGTATCCCACTTATCCAACATCTTCTTCCACTTCAATGCCCTTTGCCTCATAACATCAAGGTCCTGATATTCACACAAAAAAATAGCAATGCAAACGCAAGAAAACAGGATATTGGCACAGACAGAACATAGCACTTACGGCCTCAGCATTGATAGCACACCACCTCTAATCCACACTACCATTAACCCACGAAAATCCGGAGATCGCTAACTTAAATTGACGTTAAAATAGCTGGTCTTACAGCTTAGCCGAGGTACACGATAAATCCAATGATCAAAATGACTTGTATAGTACAATGCAGGCCCTTAAAAATAGTACTTCGAAGTACTAGAGTATGTCACATCTCAGGTTCCTGTATTCTGAAGTTAACAGTAAGCACCCAGGCTCAACTTACTTTTTGACTGGGATGGGTTGGTGGAAGAACCTCCTTGCTGCAATTGACAATATAGAACGAAACACACGACAACACAGTACTCGTACACAAGATGAAGTTATTATTCCCGTAGCTATGCAAAAGACGTTACTTCAGTAACGTCTAGCGCTAGCCAGGGTCCACACAGCTTTAATTCCGTGTTTGTTTATTTGTTTGTTTGTGCCATCGGCATGCCTGGCGCTATCCCGTACCTGTCCCGTACCGTACCATCAAAGACAGCCAGCCAGACATCAATACGGTGTTGTACGGTACAACAGTACGATAAAATTGTGGGAGAAACCAGCGACCGCCTGATAACGATGAACAATTACATTGAACATTATAACAGTCTTATGAATGGAAAAAACATCTCCATCAGTTCTAATAACATGCATGATGAGCTAGGCAAAAAAGCATAGCGTAGGGCCCTGAGCTTCCAAGCTCTCTCTCTCGTTAGTATAATAACTATAGCATGCTATCCTCCTGTACATGCCAGCAGCTGTTAGCAGAATACAATCTGAGTCGGAAGGCCGGCAATGCGGAGACAATGACTTCTGTACACTTACTGCATAAAGCCATAGCGGTCAGTGACAGCATACAACTCCAAGTTTGGATCTTCCCAGTCTTCTACTTCAACACCTCCTTCTCGACCCTGTACACACACGCATGCACGCACCCACGCATACACACCCACGCATACACACACACACACACATATACACACACCACACGGACAGAGTGGTGATTTGTATGTACGAGAAAAGAAACGGACATTCCCAAAAACCAACTGTGCATAGTCAGGGTGTTCATAGCCAGCTCCTGGTCTCCTTGCAGTCTGGTCAGTCTTGCGGGCAGGAACATTCCAGGCATTCAGTACTGACCATGCGCATTGTGCTTTTCAATAAATCTAGTCTTGGAACTCGTACGTGGATAGGTAGATGTAGAAGCACTATCAGAAAGATTACGACCTGAAACCCTGCACTTGACAGGGATAGAGATCCCGCAATACCACAGTGCCTCTGCAAATGCTGAACACATGCGCTTTGCAGCATACCTTTTGTTATTGTGTATGTGTGTGGAGGGGGGGGGGGGGGGGGGGGGGGTAGGTATGCGTGCACTTTGAAGTCCCACGTCAGGTCAGAAGTGTGAGATTTGCATGTGGTCAAGTTAGCTGCCAATAGCATGCCAGGCCCAGAGCCAGCTCTTGAGAGGTGGTACGGGCCCCAGGTCGGCCACAGGGCCAATTATCACCCTATGCCCAATTTCAGTGTAAATGCGAGGATTATCGCCTAGCTCTATGCTACATCGTATCTGGCCGTTGCAGCTACATATTCCGCTAGCAGCAGACAGATGGACAGCACAGTATTGCTCACTGGACAGGAAGACAGCTAAGGCCAGAAAGAGACTCTAGCAAGGGGTGAACGAGAATAGCTGTTAGCACTTCAACACACATATATATAGTCTGTACTGATGAGGCCTTTATGGCCGAAACAGCTTGCTGTCTACAGCATTGGGTATCACGCTCCTCGGCTTTCGCCTTGTTGAGCACTCTCAGTAGGCGGCTCTAGTGCTGCTGCATCGCGCAATGCCCGCTACATTTTGTAGTTTGAGCACTCTGGCGCTAGAGCGACGAGCTACCTTAATGTCTGTGGTGCCTCCTTTGCACCATGGCTGGTAGCTCGGCCTATTTAGCTCGTAGCTGTACTGATGAGGCCTTTATGGCCGAAACAGCTTGCTGTCTACAGCATTGGGTATAGTCTGTATAAATATAATTTCACCCTGGACATTCTATGAACCTTGAAAATGGGTATAAACGGCGGGTAGGGTAATGGGATTCATGTCCATACCCGGTCCGTACCTGCCCTTTATACCAATGGCGACGGCGGCCCTACACGTAGACTAACGCATCTCCACGACATTCGCCATTTGCACATATTCGTTGCCATCGTTATCCAGCGTGTTCTCATTTTTGCAGCACTCTTAGTCTAAAGAATGATAACGTGGGCTACGTTACAGATCATGAGTGTGTTTACATCCATACTCTGGCTGATCTGTTTACACGTGTATGCTTTGATTTGATTGATGTCTGATGTTTGGTTACAAACACCCGTTGGCCTACGTGCAATATTATAGCTGTTGCCTTGCTGTGATAGCGTGACTTTTTCTGAAATTATGTTGTCTCCAAAAATATGGCTGCGTATGCTTCCATGTGCGATCACATTGCCTCTCCGACTCATCACACCTTCCAAGCAACACACAGACATGCATGGTTTAGTCTTCAACGTCATTATCAAGGGTCCAGTTACACAAGTAACGAATTAGTACTTAGTTCATGTAAACAACACAGACATTTCACAGCCACACCCACTGAGCATGAGTCTGACATTTTTGGATATTAGGAGCACGCGAATTTCCCCGACTTGCACATTCCAAATTTAGCCACCATTCTTCTATTGTCGTCAGAGATCAGTCCTGATCTGAATGATAGGAGAACGAATGCATGACAAATCTATAATACATCGTTTCCCCAAACATTCCAGGGGATGATCTTCAACATAGTTTCCATAGATAATAGTTATGTTCAGCTCTGACATGCCGCTTCCAGAGTGGAAATTTATGCTAGGAATAGGAGCGACATGTCAAAGAAAATTTGAGGAGTACAACACACACACCGAACGTGCTTGTATCAAAGACTCTCGCAAATGCAGCATCCCACAAGAACAACTCGCTACCAGCAGCACACGACCCGAATATTTAACGCATTTCCCGTGTGCCTGGCCAGGAAGAACAGAGACCCATATTGGCCATAATTACTGCGATGGGTGGTGGTGGGCAGAAATGGGATCAGTGACAGTGACCGGATCGCTGGCATTGCACCGAAATACACCCCACTCCCCAGTAAAAACACTGACAATAGAAGCAGACAAAATTTGCGCCTGACATAGTGAACACGCCATAGCGCTGGCGTCTTCGTTCTCCTGCAGGGCCTTACCGCTTCATACTTCTCGAATATTGCCAGCCTCGCAGCTTCGTCGTCCGCGGGCATGGTGGAGCAGCACCGTTACATTCCTAGACCAAACGCTACAAAATGCACAGATGTCCTGCTGCCAACTAGACTGCAGAAATCAGCATCGCAAGAACGCCGCTCGCAATGAACAAGACAATAATTATGCGTCGTTGCGAACAGCACAGCATCAAATACCTGAATATACAGCAAGTTTTTGTCCGAATGACACACTGTACTCTGTAGCAAATCTTTTCTCTCTCACTCTTTCTCTCCCTATCGGCTATCGCCACTCGACTTTACTTAGATCAGCCAACCAGTTACCTGCGTGAACAGATTGTGACTCTGTGCATGTGCCAACCAAGCATCGGTCACATCATCAACGCAGTGCTGACTGACTGCATGCATATGCTGCATGCATGCACAGACTACTACTACTACCTCGGTGGATCTACGTGATCATGGTGATGCACAGATAATAGTACCGTGCTGAGCAGTAGAATCTGATGATGGTTGATCACACTTCAGATCAGACGAATCAGAGTTAGTACTCTCTCAGCTCAGGCCATCCCTGATCAGATCGATGGGCTGCGCACGCGGCGTGGTCCCGGATAATTCCTCCGTGGCCGACCGTCAGTGCAGTCCGAACATCTACACTCCTCCCCGCCCAGCCAGCATGAAGTCGCCCACCCTTCAACTCAGAGTCACATCACTGATCAGTTCAAGCCAAGAAAAACCAAACGCAAAGCAAAGCATTGTGCCGCGCCGCCGGCCAGCCCTGAGACGGCAGCTACATGACTGTACTGTCAGGGCTCACCACGACCATACAAAGCGTCAATAACGGTCATTTGGATTTGACCAATCAGCGCACAGCAAAACGGGCTGTTTCTTGCAATTGTGGGGTGTTTTCTGAGTGGAGCTTGGCTGTATTCGTTGGTTTTAGACATTAGGCCATTGTGGATTCGTGTTCAGAAGGTGTGTCTTTGGGGGGTTACCGTCTCGAATTTTTCGATTTGGCCTTCGTTTGGCTGAGATCGGATGGTGAAATCACTCAAACGCGAAGGCGTGCAAACAAGTGAATGAAGAGAAAATTAGAAATCGGGGACGGTAAACCGATAGAGAATTCCAAGACCTTGAAAATGAGCTATCGATGATGAGAATCGGCCAAGGAGAACCGCTGTTCTACTTTTTTGAAGACATCAAGGTCGGCCGTGCGTCGCCGCGCGCACCAACAAAAACTGGCAGCCGTGCGCATATCTGCAAGTGCAACAAGAAAGGGCGGAGGAGACAGCAAGCGTTCCAAGTGAAGAGTTTACCTTCGTGTTGACTCAAGCTAAGGACTCATGCCAGTCAGGGATCATACTAGTAGGCACTTCAGTCACGTGACATGACCTGTCAAAAAGTGCTAACGCTGAATCGCGTACATGCGTGGCACCAAGGAAAGGCGCATGCATAGATCGATCTGTAGCTGCACGGAAGCTGCGCAGGGCCTTCTCGTGTGGCGCAGCATGTAGCTGAGGCCCTCAGCTTTCGTTTGAGCCCACATACGTCATGATGCGGCAATTTTTTGAACTCACGTACAGTTCGAGTAAAATCGGCAAGGATTTTTCGGGCATTTCACTTGGTTGCACGCATTTGCCATGTAGCTCATCGTCTTCAGCATCGTATTTCCTTTCGGGATCAGTTGTCCTCGTTCGTCCGACACTTTGCGCATTGCTGCGCAAGGAGAAATAATGCGAGGTGTTATTGGAAGCGAACCGCGACAGGCGTCCTCCCGGCAATAATCCTTGTTCGTCGGAGCCCATGCGCATGGCTGCGCAAGAAGAAATATTGCCAGGTGTTATTGGAGTCGCATCGGAGCAGTCGTCCTCTCCTGCAGGCGACGAGTAGGACAGTATATACTTCGGCGACTGGACCAAGAGAGCTGACATCAAAACGGCCTGCTCGGAACAAATCGTCAGCTGATCAGCAGGTGGCTTCCAGCGACCAAGAAAAGCATTGACGGTGATATTATACCAAGAATCCAGCACACACTCTATGCACAAAATCTCCGGCTCATGCTGGAGTTGCTGAAGTTTCAGTAGTCCCAAAAATTTGCAGACGATGTTCTATTGTAATAGTTTGTCATTTCTTTCCGTCAAATACCCGGTAAATTCTAGTTTGCTCAGTCTTCGGCTCATTGTTCTTCCGTACTCATCACCAAGTCAGTACTGTACATGTAGCAACAATGTTTTCTGGCACTGAATTATTGTAGTTACTTTATCTTACCTCAAAGTCTCATCTTATGCTTTTCCGAAGGCTTCTCTGCACTGTTTTCATGCTGTTGCGATGGAGTTGCTATGCTGTTGCTATGGAGTTGCCATGGTGACCACACCCGATATCTTCGTCGGAGCTGCCGGACGGATGAAAAATCCGAAGTTTTTCCAAACCATGCTGTTTCTGCATTCATCTGGTTATTTTGACCTGCTTCCAGCGAGCCTGGTATTTTGCCACTATAGACACTGAAGCAAGTTCTGCCAATTTCTGATATGCTGCTGGTGCCGTCGAAATACTGAAAATGCCGTTATTCAATTCTCCGACTTTGGGTGGCTATATCTCTGTGCTAAGTTATTCTTTTTGCTTCAAATTTTCTGTGGAGTCTTCCTAAACCTATCTGAATCAGATACAAAAAAGAAATACGCGTATTTCTCGTTTTGAAAAAATCGCCTGAAGTGCCTAATACTAGTCACCTCTCATCATGGTCATGACTAAGGGATTCATTTGTGACAAGGAAACTCCCCACTCGCAGCGTGAAAGCTGCGAGGCCAAACAGAAAAGAGTGTGCCGAGTCGCGATCAGGAAACGCTGAGTTCTACTGACAACATTGGTTAGCTAGGCGCGGCAAATTCTTGTAGATGCCAGGACTCAAGTTCACCAGTACCCCACGGACATATCTTGGTCGACACCCACCAGCGGATTGAGAAAAATGACCAAGATGGCCTGGAGAAAGGACGTCTTCTCCGCGTGTCTTTCTCGACATCAAACAACAAGATTCGCTTCGGCACTGGCCCTTCGCTGTACAGAGTAGACCAGGGAGTCGTAAAATACCGGTATTTTACGACTAGACTGTACATCGCTGTACATCGATGAGCATGAACTCGGGTGCGTAGCCGCTATGACTGCACAAACTCTGGCTTTGGCGGCATTCAAAATGGTGGTCGACGCTTTTTGAATTTTGTATGGTCGTGGTGAGCCCTGACTGTACATATTGTCATTGTACTAAAATTAATTATTTTGACTAAAATTATTTGTACAAATTGTAGCTAGCTATACCGCCGGGACCAACGCATATGGCCGATTGGTTTGCAGGCCTGCCTGCGAATCATGAGGTCCCGAGTTCGAGACCCGCGCTGGTAGCAGGGAGCGTGTAAAGACTTTTTACGTGAGTAAAGACTTTTTATGCGTGGTGAACTAACTGCGCCGACACCCACGGTCAACTGGGTACTCACAGCTCGGAGTGAGGGTAACAAGGATGCAGTTTACAGGGTTATGGGCCGTTACACGCCCGATTGGTTGAGAGACTCACCTACTCTCCCCTGACTCACTTGTGAGGTCTGCATTCGCCACTAAGGTGTGCAAGGCATAGGCATAGTGGTGGCCTGCGGAAGCGAAGGCTAGTTTGTGTGTTTCTGAACATTCAAGCGATGCCAACGCGAATCCCGCGAATTATTATTATTATTATACCGCCGGGCAGGCCTCACTACAGCTACAGACAGTCCATTCAGAAAAAGATGATATCCTAGCTTTTGGTCATAAACGCCAAAACGGGTCAAATTTTGAGTTTTTGTCTCCTTTTTTTTGGCAATCCCCCATGGAATGCTCTTCCAATTGTGTTTTTGAAGTCTATTTCTCCAAAAA